AACGTCGTGCTGTGGAGGCTCTCGGTCGTTGGCAACGTCGTATACGACAATAGTCGTAGTACCGCGACAACGTAAAAGAGTGCGTAATTGAGGCAAAAAATCCAGTTGGTGGCCGACTGAAAGTACACGCGTCCGGTCGTCCACGCCGCGCGCATCTAAGCGCAGGGTTCGACTAGCCAAATATCCAAACACAAAGAAAAAGTAAACCTCTTTCGACAGCTCGAATGTGACAATGGCCAAAATGAGCAGTTGACACACGAGCCGGACATAGTCGGCCGGTGTTTCGTAGTTGTAGAGACGATACGTAATGAATTCGGCGTGCGGGTCCAGCCCCCCGGCAGGCGTTTGCTCAAAGAAAAGGCGGACCGTCGACACTTGGTTCGAATTGGCATTGTACAGCGTCATATCGACAAAGAGCGCGCGCGTCGCCATGTCGAAAAACCTAGAAAACGCGCGTTTAACCTTGGAAGCGAATCGCTCATCTTACTTGTGATGGCGAAGGCTATCCAGGCGCTCGAACTGCGGGCAATTCACCCGCATCTTGGGGTTGCACCCATTTGGCTCGATCGGACTCAAATACACGTTAAAGTTTGGGGCCGGGTACCATCGCTCGGAAGGCGAGAGGAACATGACGGCAGCGTCCGGCGGGTCGTCCGGGGCATACATCTCGCCATGCCCCCCAAATGATGTCCGGGACATGCTCGTCGGGCTCAACGACGGAAAGCAGATGGTACTTGTCATATTGAGCATCGTCGCCAGCGTGCCGGCGCACGGGACACCATCAACGCGCACCTAGGGACACATTGGCATCTCAATACATCAAGATAGAATGTAGAGTGAGTACCTGTCCGATGCGAATGGGCCCCCAAATCTGGCCGTAGGTGCCCAGCATGCCCTTGGCGTTGTATGTGGGGCCTTTGGGGTACGCGGTGTCGCCATCAAAAGACGCACCAGCGTACACGGCATCGTAGAACACGCCCGCTACACAAAAAGTGCGTTCAAAGCAACGCAAAATGTGCGCAAATCTGACTCAAAAAGTGGTGCATTTCGTTGACGTTGGCCACATCTTCAAAGGTCTTGGTGACGTGCGAGACGCGCGCTGGAAAGGGCTTCTCCTTCAATTGCGACATGAGGTTGAACGTCATCTTGAACGGCGTGTCGTCGGCCCGCCCATGCAAGGTAACAACCAAAAACAGCACCAGAAACAAGACATAATTCACCTACCACCGAGAGTTGACAAAGGACAAACGTTGAAATTTTGATACCATGTCTTGGACTTCTTTAGAGGCTTTCTGCTTGGCCTGCGTGCGAAGGAGCGCCGTCGATGGGTTCGACCATTGTAGACCGTGCTGCGCCGAGTTGGCGCGCACGAGCTTGCGGAGATCCTTGGTCGTCATGCTCGATATCGAGCTGAGATGCGACGTCATTTCGTTGTCGCAGCTAAAACTAGCATCCATTGGTGGCGCCTCGACAGCGACCTCGACCTGTGCCAGCGGCTCGATCGGCCGCGACGAAAAGAGCCGCGTTGCATCACCCGACGGCGCCACCGTCGTCGGTTTAGGGGTGACGTCGTCACCGGTCGCACCGACCATGGCCGGCTCGGTAGCAGCGAGGCCAACGTTGGCCTCGCGCATGGATTCGCGGAAGCTGTGCTGCTTGCTCAGTTTGACTTGCGCCATGTGCTGGGCGACAGCGTCCCGCGCCTCGGCCTCCGACAGGCCCTGCTTGAGCGCCTTCTCCATGAGGTACCCACGCATAACGACATCCATGAGCTCTGTCCGCTTCGAGCCGGCGGACGTCGTCGACGTCATCGCTCGAAACATCATGGCGACTTGGTAGCACGAGGCGTCGTTGATACTGGAACCGTTACTTGGTCCCAAGAGCTTCACCAAGGAATCGCAAGCAGTTTCTAATAACAAAGGACTAGGAAGTGCAAACTCGTACCCAGAATTTCAACTTGTACACGATGTCGACTCTTGTCGCATCGACCAAGTGCCGCGTTGGCTTCGACACTCGGACAGTCGCGGCAATTGCTTTTTAACATTTATATAATAAAGAGCTATGGTGTATGATAGATAACCGCCAATGAGAATCCATTGTTGCGTGACGTCGGCCATTTTTGAAAATGGTACGACCGACGGTGGCGACAAGCCGGACTTTACGGCGACGTAGGCAGGGCAAGCGGCCAAGAAGGCGCAGAAGGCCGGGCAGAGCCTTAGCACACGCCTCCACAAGTCGATTGTGCCCATCAACGTACGCAACCGCGTCCGTCTTGCGTGTATGTGACGCCTCGTCTTAGGCTGCGTACATTGCGTACCGCATTCTGTGGCACTACGCGACGTTCTCCAACTGGCACATGTGGGGCTACGGGCTTCTCTTGACGATGACGTACTTGAGCTACACCATGGCCGTGGGCTCGGCCCTCGAGGGCACCAACAACGAGTACGCATCCATCGATCTATCTCGTTTCTTACGGTCGGTGCAGGTATGCGATGGACGTGCTTCTCATCACGCTCGGCGTCCAAGTCGGGTCGATGTTTACCGACTACTTTTGGTATCTTTACTTGATCGTACGACCTCGCTACCTGGTTCATTTGCTCACGCAACGCCTAGATTCCTGGCTACGTCTCGTACTATGGCGGCCGCAAGATCTGGGGCTTCGTCTTTCCCCAGGGCTTTGGTGCCTCGGTACGCGACATCGTATCCGCATCCGATATCTCATGTTGGACTAGGACGAAGCGAGCACGGGCGAGACCACGTCCAAGCGCCAGGCCAAGCTCGAGAAGCGCGGTTTGCGCCAGCCCCGCCAGCTCTAATCGCCTTGAAGTAGACTAGAGGTCCAGAGACAGAATTGATGTCGTTAAGACAACATACACAGTGTCTACGTTTCATTCGACCACATGCGAAGGCTGGCGCTGCTTCGCATGCGGTCGCGCGCTGTTTGCTTGGTCGCGCGCGTCATCGCGCTCGAGGCCATGCGCTCCGCCCAACTCATCTTGCCAGCGACACCCGCGTCGCGCGTCTCGGGCGGATACCCGAGGACGAGTGTTGCAACGAGGTGGTTGTCGTTGGTCGCGGGGATCGCAAGATGGCCGGACATGCCCAGCACCTTGTAGTTGATCGTGAGGGCCTTGCGCATGCCCCGGCACGGGTCACCAAACTGCGCCAGTAAATCCATTGTGCGGGGCACCACAAGCGCTTTGGCGTGTTTGGCTACACAACACAGCGATGGGTACCCCGGTGTACACGCCGCCGAGTACCTTTGCCCGCAAGTGTCGCGACCACGTCGGTGATGTCGTACGTCTTGAGCGCATTTGTTGGGTGCCCAAAAAATGCTCGAACAATCTGCAATGGCGGAAACACCGTGTGCGGCTGCAGCAACACCGGTTCCTGGACGAACCCTTCACGGTTCACGTCCAGCTTGAGTTTGCCCCCAAACCGGTTTGTGAAATTGCGCAAGTGGCCGCCCGTTAGAATCTCGTTGTCGTTACCACTCTCCCCTTGGAAGTGTGTGAGGTATTACCGCCACGAGACGACGTACCAAAGCCAAGGTATGCATAGTCTACAACGAGACGCTTTGGTAACCCGGGGCACGGGTCGCCGCCGAGTTGGTTGAGGTTCATACGCGCACCAAGTTCGAGCTGCGACCGTACACTTGCTTGCAGCGGCGCCGTGACATCGCAACTCGCGCTATGTGCTGGAAGCGCTTGGAATTGCGCCAAGAGTGGTGCCGCGTCTGTGTCACCAAGTGCAACTTGAGCTTGTAGGTCCACGATCTTGCGCTGGAGCTCTTTGATCGGCCAGCCATAGTCGGCGTGCTCGATGAGCACACCGGGCGAGACCACCGGAAGGTGCTGGATCACAATGTCTTCCTTGAGATGGCCATCCACTTCGTACTGACGCGCTTGGCCCGCTCGACCAATCACTTCGTAGTGCAACGTGAGCGCCTGCGTGATATTCCTGTTGAACGCGGGATGTAGCGTATATTGCCGCGTACTTTGGTAAGCCCTGGGCATGGGTCGCCGAGCCAGTCGACAAGCGCTTGTGTCGACGGAATGCAGAGGTGGCAGCCGTAGCCGTACAAGTCGATCCACGCCGTGAGCCGCTCCGTGACGTCGAGTACAAGACCCTATTTGCCACTTGACTATTTGTGTCGATATCGCTTTTGCGCTGTGCTACCTTGGTCGAGGAAGCACGGTGGCCGTAGCGTCCCATGAGAATCCACAGCTTTGGAGGTCGATCCACGGTGAAGGAGAGCCGGATGGGCGTCGCTAACGTCTGCGGCTGCACTTCCCGCGCATAGACTTCACCGCGACGGGTCAGCGCCGGGTTGAAGTTGGGTACAACGTAGCGAAGAATAAGCATCTACGCCACGATATCGTGTTGGATCCCACCAGTAGAATCGCGAAACTACCTTGAGCATACCCGGAGAAGGGTCAACCAAGGTGAGCTCCGAAACGTCGTTCGAGAGATACATCTCCGACGTGGACGACGTGACAGTCAGTCGAGCGCGAACAAAACTGGTGACATCGATGGCAAGCGCCGGATCGATCGGGTGTCCGTACGATGCTGCAAGAATATGCAGCTGGTTGAGCGGCGCATCACTGAGGAGCGCGGTATCGCATTCGATGGACTCACGGAGGACCTTTCGGCAGTGAAGACAGTAGCGATACGTCTCGCGCAGCGCTGGGTTGCGGTGCACGGTGCCGCAGTTAAAACACCGGAGGTCCGTCGACGCATTTGCAAGCGCAGGAAGCTTCCACGTGGATGGTGACGCGAGGTCGTCAGCGCTCGCACCTACGCGATTGACGCACGGTGAACATCAGTGACGCGAGTAGTCGTCGACGACTTTGTCGGCGCAATGCGGCCCGTCCCGGCGTGCCGCCCATGCTTGATTGTCTATACTTGGAGACTTCCCCAACCCTACCAAGCGGCCAACGACCGATTCCGCAATCATCTCACGCCTGATACACTGATACAAAACGTGGTGATGTCAGCACACTCCCTCCCGCTTGGCTGTGTCACTTCTCTGGATCGGTGTCATGTAGATCGGCGAGCAAACGTGATGCAGACATGTGCTCTATGTTCATCTCGCTGCAGACATGGGCTCTATGTTCATCTCGCTCACACCAACAGCTCCGGTTCTATTACTTGGTAAGACTACCATATATATATATGGGCATTGCGTGGGGCAACTGCGTGGGACGCGGCGGCTTCCGAGCCGGGACGCGGCGCTGCGCCATATCCTGGCCAGCTATCCTGGCCTTGCCCGCGCCGATGACCATCACGGTGTATGACGGCTCTTCGCAGGCACCACTTCGGAGCTGTTCACTTTCTGTTTTGCAACCACATGCCGGCCCCCACGACCAAGAAATCGGCATCGATGGCTGCCGACGGCGCCTGGTCGACGCTCGAGGTATGGACAGTGGCTGCCTGTATTCGAAAACTGAGTCTGACTAGGACCAGATGCTTCGCGACGCAGTCTTTAAGCATGGCGGGAAGCAGTGGCGGGGCATCGCCGACAAGTTTGTCACCAAGAGCGCGCGCGACTGCCAGGAGCGATGGCACCAACTCCAGAACCGCAACGCGTCCACCAAGCGCCCATGGAGCAAAGAGGAAGACGATCGCATGGCCGAGCTCATCGCTTCGTACGGCGCGCGCAAGTGGGCGGTGATTGCATCGTACCTGCCAGGCCGCAATGGCAAGCAGTGTCGCGAGCGGTACGGCACGTGTCGTGACGGGCGTGACACTCACGCTTCACGTACGATTAGGTGGCACAACCAGCTCAACCCCGCCATCAAGCGCGACGCCTGGTCGCAGGACGAAGAAGCCACGCTCTTCAAGATGCAAGCCAAGCTCGGGAACCGCTGGGCACAGATCGCCAAGCAAATGCCAGGCCGGTGCGTCGTCTCGGACGCATGCGCGGTTGTGCTGAAGATGTGTGTGTGTAGGACGGACAATTCAATTAAAAACCACTGGTACTCGTCGCTTCAGCCCAAGATGCGGCACGCAGCACCTGTCCGCAAGCATGTCACACGCGCCCCGGTGCCGATGGCGGCCAAGCCGCCAACCATCATGTCGCCACCACCGCCCCCCGTGTTGGCACCCGCGGTCGAGCCCCCCGCAGTGCAAACGCCCCCCGCCCCCGAAAGGCCCCCCGCTGCCGAAATGCCGTCAATCAAGAGTGAGCCATTAGAATCGCCACCGGGCATCGAGTCGTGTGAGCTGGAGCCGCCGCTGTTTGAGGCGTTCACACCCGTCACGTTGGACACGGCGTACTGGGCCGAGTGGACAAGCATCCACGAGTCGGCGTGGGCGCATCAGCGCGGCGACTTTGATTTTGTCGAGCTCCACGACGAAGACTTGTGGCAACGTTCATCGTCGCTGACGCTCGACACCTTTGAGGCGATGATCCTCTTCGAGACGCTTCAAGAGCCACCCCTGTAAACTGCGCCATGCGCTTTTGTACGTGTCGACCGTCAAATTTGGTGTTGTTAAATCTGCTACATAATGGCATTCATTCACGTATTTCGTTGTCGTCCGTCGCCGCCTCGGCTAAGAGAGCAAGGTCCAGGAGTGCGACGACGCGCTGAAGGCCGTCCAAACCCACAGCTTTGTCCCGCTCGCTGTACAAAAGCGTGTGGCTCCCCTTGCCGTGCAAGCAGTGCCGGCACAAGATCGGGTCGACGTCGTCGCGCTGG